ATTGAAGGGGGGCCGTTTTGCCCCATCCTCCCCTAAATACTTAAAAATTAGAGATGCGTTCTTACAATTCAGTGGCATTACTCGTAAAATTATCAATTATTTTATTATTTTGCAAATTTCAATGAAGATAAGTAAACCTTAATTACTGAGGTGCACCTTCTCATAATATTACTAAGACAATCATTGATGCCGAACCCTGCGCGAATGCCTGAAAATTAGTGCACGCGTCCCAGCAAATCAAAATTTTTAATTTCTGTGTTACTTTAAAGGATATTATCCCTTATGTAAATGATGAAAATTACTATGAATAATAATATTCATCACGAAGGTGATGAAAATTATTCCAAAAATATTATTGATTATTAAAGTAATGGATAATATTATTGTACTTATTATTATCGAGAGGTTATTAAATTACTGATAACATGATTGGCTAAATTTGCCTGTCTCCGCTGGGGCTGAAGGAGCGTTGAACAATGAATGGTAGAGGATGAGGAACAAAGAACTGACAAATGAATGACAATTGCCTTCAGTCATGGCATTATTGTGGCAAAACAAAAACTATTGTTTTTGTTTTCGGTAATAAGATTTTTGTGGGGATTTCGTTTTGCCCAAACACTATGTGGTCATACATAGGTTCTGATGCGCGTCACTGCACCTGCCAATTAAAAGCTTTTAATCGTACAGATGTTCAATCAGGATCTTTTGATTGGCTGTGGCGCGGCGATCCACATCGATGATTTCGGATAGTTAGTGGACACTGGGATAAAAGAGACTCAAATATCACACACTAGCCATCATCATGCAGACTCGCTGAATTCACAGGAGATCGCCGGGGTGAAATCAGACCTGCATTCACCCACACGGCATTGATGTTCGTTTTATCCTGAAATCCTCAACATAAAACCGAACTTCATCTCCGATTGAGAAATAAATCACGAATAGGATTACTTCCTCTTATTTTACGCTCCAGAAAATTCGTCGAATATTTCAATCTCTCAAGAGTTTTAGAATAAACCGTGAAAAGTTTTTTAATAATCCTCTGTTAATTTTTTCATCCCATCAACTTTTTTCTACAGCCGGATTACCCCAATTTTCCCTATTCTCCTAAAAAAATACGGAAAATTATTCACTGATTCAATTGTTATCTGATCTGAAATTTTTCAATGCACCAAAAATTGGGAAATTAACTGTAGAAACTTTCTCAAGGATATCATGTTGGGAAACTAAAATTCTTCAAAATGTTATTCAATACGTTTTGAAAATATTAAGAATGATTTGTACAAAATAGCAACGAAAATAATTTTCTAATGTTGTTACTTGCACATGAGACTGAACGGAGCATCGATAAATTCAGCATCAGCCCCACTCAATCTCATGTTTAAGCAGCAGCTTTACAATTTATCTCAGTTGTGATTATATGAAGTGGAGTTTTTTCTATTCTGCCCGCGGTTTCTGAATGGATTAAATAATGTGGTGACGAGTTTACATCCAGTTCTCTGAACTTTTCAAATACCTGTGGACCCCGCGATAACATTCTTAATAACGCTCTGTCGAGTTATTCCCTACATCGAGAAAAACATCAACGAATAATCACCATGAAACGGCAGTGAAAAATTACCAAACGGTGCAATGTGAAAATTTGCTTCTTCACCACAACAACAAATTTTTAGCAAACAAATTTTACTGTTCGCTTCTGAGATATTATGTTACAAAAGGGAAAATTCATGCTTTGCGTTACATTTTTTCTCTTGGTTTCAGATAAAAATTTCTGAAATTCATTTCGCTCTCCCATCATCTGCATTGTTTGGTCATTTTCGTCCGAACTTTTTTCTGTGTAAATCCTTCCATCAACGTATCAACTCTCACAACCAGATTGACCCAATTAGGTCTATTCCCCTCCAGAAAAATTCCAGAAAATTACGACTTTTCCAGAGTAATCCCACGTGCGAGCAAAATGAGTACTATTTTTATTCATTTCTGGTTCACTAACAACTGTGGAAAAAACTCAAACATGGGTGAATTCACACAACAGAAATAGTAGGATTAGGAAAGGGTGCGGCTGTACCGCTCGGCGAGCAATACCACTCACCCGGTTCTCTCCCCAATTACGAACTTCGAATTTTCTCTCTTCTTCTTCAAATGTTTGACTTGATGAAGCAATGTAATTTTCCTGAAAATTTCACTCCATCTACTTCTTCAGTAGCGAGGCGATAAAAGTCGACTTAGCCCTCAGCTGAGTTTTCGAGAAATCTCTCCGAATCTAGGGGAGATAGCGACATTTTCGTAATTACGTTTTTTGTAGAGCGAAATGAAAGCTACAAAGAAGCTTGCAATAAAATGTTTGCTATCTACCTTAGATTTCATGGTATTCATTGAAAACCAATCAATAGTCGAAATTGAATTGAACCGTTTCGCCGCTTCACTACTTGCAAGGTTTTTTAGATTTTTAACCCTAAAATTGTCACATAAAATGGCTGTTATCCTATTAGAGGTACCTTTCTTCTGGCATTTATTTTCATTTAGTTCTTGTTTACTCGAATGCTCGGAAAGCGGTAAAATTTCCGGAACAGTTGAGGGGAAACCTCATAAAATTTCAGATGTCCCTGAAAATTCAATAAAATTCCAAATATTTTAGTATCTGGAAGAAGTGAATTCCCCAGCTTGTATTGAATTATCCATCATAACTTGAATATTTACCATCAAATTACACGGAATTTCCAATTAACTGAAACAAAAAATATACCTACCGCAAATTTCCTGATTTCTATAAATAATCCTTGAATAATTGAACTGAAATTTACAGATTCATCAATTTCCCCATAAAATCCAAACTCTCAATAACGAAATCCCTTGAAAATTTCGATGAAACGCCAGTCTAAAAATTCCCAAGGAGTGCGCTAGAAACGTCAGGCAAAAATTGCAATCAGTCCAGCAAATCTAAAAAAACTCACCCACAGTTGACCTCACCCACCACAAATGGAACCACTCTTCTCCATTAATCCCCAAAACACCCCGTATTTTTCAATCCCCCCTAAAATTCTGAAATAAGCGATAAAACCCTCCTTAATAACCCCCTGTTAATTTTCCTCCCTGCATCCCCATCAACTTCTCCACTCCCGAAGCCGGATTACCTCAATCCCCCCTCGAAAAAAAAAACCCCAGAAAATAACTCACCCGCCCAATTGTCACCCCTCCAAAGAGCCCGAAAAAACCTCACGTGCAACAAAAACCGAATTGATAGCCCACGTGTGGAGCCCAGCGTTTGTTTAATCCACGACTCATAATTGCATGCATTAATTTCACGTTGGATAATTACAACCCATTGATAATCCCCACTGGAGTATTTTGTTGTTTGCTAGTGCAGTCTGTAGGCCCATTGTCCGAGCTATGCGCAGGAGGGATGTGAAATTGCGTGACCCCCCTCATCCTACCCCT